TTTTTTTGTACTTTTTGTAGAGATGAAGTTTTCCCATGTTGACCAGGCTGATCTGGAACTCCTGGGCTCCAGTGATCCTCCTGCCTCTGCCTCCCAAAAAGCTGGGATTACCAGCATGAGCCACCATGCCCAGCCTGTAGTTACATTAATTGACCCCCATGTTGTAGTTGAGTTTGGTTAGATTGTAGCCAAAGCTAGAGAGCAACTGTAGACAAACTCAATTATATTTGGATCAAGTGAATTTCTCTGTGACTGGAGACTAACCACATGAGCTATATTGTATCCAAGTGACATTTCATTGTGGCCGCTGAGCTCAGATACATTGTAGCCAAGTGCAGTTTTCAGAACTGGGTGTGAGCAGCATCCAGACTTGCACTGAGCATTCTCTCCTTAGCCAAGCACAGAGATGTCTTGTTGCCAAGCACAGAGTCGCCTTGTAGCCGGCACGATGGGGAACATTCCTTTGCCTGTATAATGAGGTCCGGGCCTGGAATGTTCATCTTCCTTCTCCTGCCAGAAGGAACTGTGGACAAAGTGTCTCCAGGAGACCGGAATCACTTACTTGGAAATTTGGCCTTCCCCACACCCCCCCGCACAGATGACCTTGGGAGGCCTCCAGTGGGGAGGGAGGGGCCTCCGGGGAAAGATCATTTCTTCTGAAGCTGCCCCTCCCAGCTTCTGCCTAGCATCCTCTTGGGACTGTCCTGGCTGCTTTAGAGCAGGGGACTGAGTTTGGTGTCCTTCTTAAGCAGGGCAGAGGCTTGAGACCTTTTTTTTTTTTCAGGGCACTTCAGGGAACCGGGGCCTCCAGGGGGAGAAAGGCGAGAAGGTGAGGAGAGAAGGAATTCATTAGGGGAGAAGGACCCCCAGTCATAGGGTCCTGGTTGTGTCCCTTCCCTGAGGCCCTCACTGCTGGCCTCTGTCTCTCCCACCAGGGAGAGGACGGCTTCCCGGGCTTCAAGGGTGATGTGGGGCTCAAAGGTGATCGGGTAAGACCAGCCGCAGATGAGGGGTGGTGTGGTTCTATGGGGCTGGGGGAAGACAGCGAGGGGATGACCTGGAGCTAGACAGAGCAGGAAGGACAAAAGATTAATATTAAAGATTCTCCTTTCTCTTCCAGGGGAAGCCTGGAGCCCCAGGTCCCCGGGGAGAGGATGGTCCCGAGGGGCCAAAGGGGCAAGAGGGGCTGGCTGGCGAGGAGGGGCCCCCAGGCTCAGCTGGGGAGAAGGTAAATGACTCTCCACCCTCCAGCCTCCCACAGTCAGGGTGTCCCCAGCCTTTTCCCTCTGCCTTTGCCCTTGCCCTTTTATTATACCTCCGACATCAGGAGGCTGCTACCAACCTTGTCATCCCAATTCCTCAGCTCAGCATTACAGAACAATTTATTGCACGTAACTTATGTGCTTATCTCCATAACCACCACATGCAATAGGCATTTTAATCCCATTTTATAGACAAGGAAAACTGAGGCTTGGAATGGCTGAATGGCCTGCCCAAGGATATACCCCTAGCAGGCAGGAGCCAGGACTTGAACCTTGTTTCCCCAACTCGCATTCCATTAGCCTGTTCGCCATGCCCCAGCCAGCCTGACCTTTCTGCCTCTGACCTCCAGGTTGCAATTTCTGACCTTTGTCCCATAATTTCTCTGCAGGGCAAGCTTGGGGTGCCAGGCCTCCCAGGTTATCCAGGACGTCCTGGGTCTAAGGTAGGAAGCTGGGGTTGGTGGTAGAGTTGGAGATGGGCAGGATTCTGGGGGCCCAGGCTGTGGTCTTGGGGGATGAACTGCCCACCCCAAGGGTCATTGAAAGAATGTCAAATGTGGGCTTTGCCCAGGCATAGTGGCTCATGCCTATAATCCCAGAGCCCTGAGAGGCTGAGGTGGGAGGGTTGCTTGAGCCCAGGAGTTCAAGACCAGACTGGACAACAAGGCAAAACATTGTCTCTAAAAAAACATACAAAAATTAGCCAGATGTGTCTGGGAGTGGTGGCTAATGCCTGTAATCCCAACACTGTGGGAGGCAGAGGCAGATGGATCACTTGAGATTAGGAGTTTGAGACCAGCCTGGCCAATGTGGTAAAACCCCATCTCTACTAAAAATACAAAAAAAAATAGCCAGGCTTGGTAGCAGACACTTGTAATCCCAGCTACCCGGAGGCTGTGGCAGGAGAATTGCTTGAGCCCAGGAATCAGAGGTTGTAGTGAGCTGAGATCGTGCCACTTACTCCACCCTAGGCAACAGAGTGAGAGTCTGTCTCAAAAAAAAAAAAAAAAAAGAAAAGAAAAGAAAAAGAAGAAAGAAAAGGAAAAAAAGACATTTGGGAAGATATTTTCATGCAGAATCCTCCCAGAGTTCCATATTTTTACTCTATGGAACTACATTGAATTTGACGGCACTTTTGTGTGTGTGTGTGTGATTTCTCTTCACATTGAATCCTTTCCCTTTAACTAGTTTTTTCTTTTTTCTTTTTAATGGTCAGGAAAAATCTTTTAACTTAGTTTTTTTTTTTTTTTTTTTTT